AAAATTCATCGAAATATCTTTGGTAGTTTATGAGAAAACTTCAAAAGAATGATGAAAAAAACGTAATTTTTTTCGAGGTAGTCTGAAATTTTTACTCATAGCTTTTTACGTTGTGAACCGATTTTGCTGATTTTCAATACCAAACTGCATAGGATAACTATAAATAGTTTGGGTGAATTTAGTTGATTTCCTTTGCTTAGTTTTAACGTGAGCTAGAATCTTCAAATTCTACATGAAGATCTTTGACATTCATGTGAACATTTAGAGAATAACGGGCGGACTTTCAATGGGGTCTTGGCACCCCCTATATGAATTAAATACAAAATTTCGTATATCTGGGAAAATATTAGATTTTTTTTAAATTTATCAATGATTACATTAAAATCTTAATTAACGTTCGGAAAAATTGTATCTCTGGAAAACATTACAGTTAGAATCTTCAAAATTATTAAGATTTTTTATTTATATTGCTAAGCACACTGGGTATAGCTAGTCATATATATAAATGTACAAGTTAGTACGACTAAACCATTCGAGTTACTTCAGATCTATTTATAAAATATCATTATAGTTTATAAACTATTTAAAAATCACAAATAAAGAAAAAATGGTTCAATCCAAATTATATTCATTATACCACATTGTTGCATTAAGCTTACATATAAAATACTAATTAATTTTAATCGATTCGATTCCGTTTTGTTAAGCAGTCAACTTATCTTATGAAATTCTGTAAAATTTAAAAATTTCCAAATTTGAATAGTGTAATTAATAATTAAATTTGATTATTTGATCATATTTTTTATATATAATCAAACTAAATTGTATTGCATCAATTGTTAAAAAAAAAGAAAAAAATCGATTTAAATCGTTATACCTAAGAATAATATTAAATGAATTAAGTAAGCTATAACTTGGATAAATAAACGTTTATTTCCCAATTCAATATTCTACACATTTATAACCAAAAAAAAGGAAGAAAATAGAATATTCATATACAAAAACAAGTAAGAAATTATAGTCGGGCGTGGCCGACCATGTGATACCCTACACCAATTGCGAATATTAAATGTGATTAATTTCAATAATGAAGCATTTCTGTTAATCTTATATAGGTTCCAAATAATGTCTGTTCATGTTCGGTTGTATGCGATTTCAATCATTTTCAACAGCCATCGTCAGTGGATCCAGAGAATAGTATGTGACCCATTTTAACAAATTATATTCAAAATTGCGATCTGTTGCGTGCACACAAGGTTTACACGGTCACAAAGACGGACATAGCTTAATAAGGACAAATATTTTTGAGTGTTACAAACATCACCACATTGTGCCGACTTTTGGATAGATAGTAGTATATTAGACGTAGTTAAAAGATAAACGACCGAAATCGTAAGGTCCGGATCTATGGAGGCTAAGGCAGAAATTGAGACAATCCTTATAAAATGTATTATTGGGAATTTTCTATACATTCTATAAATGTGTGCTTGTTTGTATGTTTGAACGTTATAGACTACTAAACGGCTAAACCGATTTTCTTCAAATTTTCACAACATATTCGTATGTCTGGCAATAGGCTACTTTTTATTTCCGATCATGGCGAAAAATGACAGTGTTATTTATAATTACATATCAAACTTAGTTGTGCCAATTTTTGGTAAGATAGTAGTATATTTATCGTAGTTATGAGCTAAGAGGCCCTAATAGGTAGATCCGGTTGTATGGGGTCTAGGGCAAAAATTGGTCCGATCCTTATAAAATTTAATGTCGACATTTTATATAAAATCTATTTGTGGTAAATTTCATATTGATACTAGTGTTTATAAGTGAATTGTGGACATTCAAGTCATTTCCTGAAGGGGACTTTGTATGGGGGATAGGGTCAAATAATGCCCGATCATTATAAAAATCGACAGTGTTATTTATAATTATATCCAACTTAGTTGTGCCGATTTTTGGAGAGATAGTAGTATATTTGACAAAGTTATGAGCTAAAAGGCCCAAATCGGAAGGTCCGCTTATATGGGGGCTAGAGTAAAACTTGGTCCGATCCCTATAAAATTTATTGTTGGGAATTATGTTTATATAGAACTCATTTGTACCAAATTTCATCGTGATACTACTGTTTATAAGTGAATTGTGGACATTCAAGTCATTTTCTGAGGGGGACTTTGTATGGGGGCTAGGGTCAAATAATGCCCGATCTTTACGAAAATCACTAGAATTATTAAGACATATATAAAACTAAACTTTTATAATTTTTATAGAGATAGCAGATCATTTAACATAATTATGAGGTCAAAAGCCCTATTCGGGGGGTCCGGTTGTATGGGGGCTAGGTGAAATAATGGACCGATTTCAACCATTTTCAAGAGAAGTGCATGTTTCAAATTTCATCAAATTATCTCAAAAATTGCGACCTGTAGAGTGCGCACAAAGTTTACATGGACAGACAGACAGACGGACGGACAGACGGACATAGCTTAATCGACTCAGGAAGTGAGTCGATTGGTATACTTTAAGGTGGGTGTAGGACCAATATTTTTGGGTGTTACAAACATCAGCACAAACGCATTATACCCTTCCCACTATAGTGGTGTAGGGTATAAAAATATATAATGCAACTAAATGTTGATGTTAAATTTTGATAATTAATTATAATCTATATAATCTATCTGTCTATATAAATAAAAATCAATTGTCGTTCGTTGGTAATTGCATCAGTTGAGAACGGCTAGACCGATTTGGACAATTTTTTTACTGAAATGTTCGTCATAGTCCAACTTAGGTTTTTACGGAAAGAAAAATTGACAACGCCCACTTTTACGCACACTTTTTTCGATTTATCTAAAATCGGAAAACGGCTGCACCGATTTGGCTAAATTTTTTATTTAAATGGTCGTAGTAATCTAATTTAAGTTTTTACTGAAAGAAAAATTTACCACGCCCACTTTTTTCGATTTATCTAAAATCGGAACACGGCTGCACCGATTTGGCTAAATTTTTTAAAACATTTTCGTAGTAATCAAATTTAAAGTTTTACTGAAAGAATAATTGACCACGCCCACTTTTACGCTCACTTTTTTCGATTTATCTAAAATCACAAATCGAACATAAACATTTTTTCTAATTTGGACAGGACAACGTCTGTCGGGTCAGCTAGTTTTACTTAATTTCTATAGATTCTTTTCATAATAATAAAAAAGAATATGTAAGTAAATCCATATAATAAAACAAGTAAGAAATTATAGTCGGGCGTGGCCGACCATATGATACCCTACACCAATTGCGAATATTAAATGTGATTAATTTCAATAATAAAGCATTTCTGTTAATCTTATATAGGTTCCAAATAATGTCTGTTCATGTTCGATTGTATGCTGACTAGGAGAAATAAAAGACCGATTTCAATCATTTTCAACAGCCATCGTCAGTGAATCCAGAAAATAGTATGTGACCCATTTTAACAAATTATATTCAAAATTGCGATCTGTTGCGTGCACACAAGGTTTATACGGCCACAAAGACGGACATAGCTTAATAAGGATAAATATTTTTGAGTGTTACAAACATCACCACATTGTGCCGACTTTTGGATAGATAGTAGTATATTAGACGTAGTTAAAAGATAAACGGCCGAAATCGGAAGATCCGGATGTATGGGGGCTAAGGCAGAAATTGAGCCGATCCTTATAAAATGTGTTATTGGGAATTATCTACATACATATATAAAAATTAATGTGTGTTTGTTTGTATGTTTATATGTTTGTTTGTTTGTGGGTTTATATGTTTGAACGTTATAGACTACTAAACGGCTAAACCGATTTTCTTCAAATTTTCACAGCACATTCCTGTATGTCTGTCTTATTTCCGATCATGGCGAAAAATGACAGTGTTATTTATAATTATATTAAACTTAGTTGTTCCAATTTTTGGGAAGATAGTAGTATATTTATAGTAGTTATGAGCTAAAAGGCCCAAATCGGTAGGTCCGGTTGTATGGGGGCTAGGGCAAAAATCTATTTGTGGCAAATTTCATCATGATACTAGTGTTTATAAGTGAATTATGGACATTCAAGTCATTTTCTGAAGGGAATTTTGTATGGGGGATAGGGTCCGATCATTATAAAAATCGACGGTGTTATTTATAATTATATCAAACTTAGTTGTGCCGATTTTTGGAGAGATAGTAGTATATTTGACAAAGTTATGAGCTAAAAGGCCCAAATCGGAAGGTCCGGTTATATGGGGGCTAGGGTAAAACTTGGTCCGATCCCTATAAAATTTATTGTTGGGAATTATGTTTATATAGAACTCATTTGTGCCAAATTTCATCGTGATACTAGTGTTTATAAGTGAATTGTGAACATTCAAGTCATTTTCTGAGGGGGACTTTGTATGGGGGCTAGAGTCAAATAATGCCCGATCTTTACGAAAATCACTATAATTATTAAGACATATATAAAACTAAATTTTTCCCATTTTTGTAGAGATAGTGAATCATTTAACATAATTATCAGGTCAAAAGCCCTATTCGGGGGGTCCGGTTGTATGGGGGCTAGGTGAAATAATGGACCGATTTCAACCATTTTCAATAGCGTTCGTCCTTCGACCAAGAGAAGTGCATGTTCCAAATTTCATCAAATTATCTCAAAAATTGCGACCTGTAGAGTGCGCACAAGGCTTACATGAACACACAGACAGACAGACAGACAGACAGACAGACATACGGACGGACGGACAGACGGACATAGCTTAATCGACTCAGGAAGTGATTCTGAGCCGATTGGTATACTTTAAGGTGGGTGTAAGACCAATATTTTTGGGTGTTACAAACATCAGAATAAACGCATAATACCCTCCCCACTATAGTGGTGAATTTATACGGTATAAGATTTGATGTTTGATTATAATTCTTGTCAATAAAATTATGTCTGTTTTTGAGTTAGATACCTGAAATCTATTTTATGTTATTAATTTAAATAATGATGTTTATTTAATTAACGCAAGTCCCGGAAGGTGTCATACTTATAACACTGTAGGAACAATTTTTAAATTAATTTATTTTTTTATATTTTAATAAAAAATTGGAAAAGTTTAGTTTTATATATGTCTTAGTAATTCTAGTGATTTTCGTAAAGATCGGGCATTATTTGACCCTAGCCCCCATACAAAGACCCCCTCAGAAAATGACTTGAATGTCCACAATTCACTTATAAAAAGTAGTATCACGATGAAATTTGGCACAAATGAGTTTTATATAAACATAATTCCCAACAATAAATTTTATAGGGATCGGACCAAGTTTTACTCTAGCCCCCATATAAGCGGGCCTTCCGATTTGGGCCTTTTAGCTCATAACTTTGTCAAATATACTACTATCTCACAACTATGTTGGATATAATTATAAATAACACTGTCGATTTTTATAATGATCGGGCATTATTTGACCCTATCCCCCATACAAAGTCCCCTTCAGGAAATGACTTGAATGTCCACAATTCACTTATAAACACTAGTATCAATATGAAATTTACCACAAATAGATTTTATATAAACATTTTATATAAAATGTCGACATTAAATTTTATAAGCATCGGACCAATTTTTGCCCTAGCCCCCATACAACCGAACCTGCCGATTAGGGCCTCTTAGCTCCTAACTGCGATAAATATACTACTATCTTCCCAAAATTTGGCACAACTAAGTTTGATATGTAATTATAAATAACACTGTCATTTTTCGCCATGATCGGAAATAAAAAGTAGCCTATTGCCAGACATACGAATATGCTGTGAAAATTTAAAGAAAATCGGTTTAGCCGTTTAGTAGTCTATAACGTTCAAACATGCAAACATATAAACACACAAACATATAAACATACAAACAAATACACATTCATTTTATATATGTATATAGATAATTCCTAATAATACATTTTATAAGGATCGGCTCAATTTCTGCCTTAGCCTCCATACATCCGGACCTTCCGATTTCGGTCGTTTATCTTTTAACTACGTCTAATATACTACTGTCTATCCAAAAGTCGGCACAATGTGGTGTTGTTTGTAAAACTCAAAAATATTTGTCCTTATTAAGCTATGTCCGTCTTTGTGACCGTGTAAACCGTGTGCACGCAACAGATCGCAATTTTGAATATAATTTGTTAAAATGTGTCACATACTATTCTCTGGATCCACTGACGATGGCTGTTGAAAATGATTGAAATCGGTCTTCTATTTTTCCTAGTCAGCATACAACCGAACATGCACAGACATTATTTGGAACCTATATAAGATTAACAGAAATGCTTCATTATTGAAATTAATCACATTTAATATTCGCAATTGGTGTAGGGTATCATATGGTCGGCCACGCCCGACTATAATTTCTTACTTGTTTCTTTTGTTGCTGTTTGGTGTTATGTAGTTCTTCATTTAACTTTAATTCATCGATAAAAGCAGGTTTCAAAGATCGATTGCAACCGACAATATAAATTGTCCCTTGTGAATTTTAAAACATTTATCATTTCTACTTATGACTTTATATATGGACCTTCAAAATGATATTGCAATCCAATTTTTTTATTGACTTTTACAAAAACGTACGAACAATTCATTAATGAAGGAGGAATGTAACTACGACTGTTTCCATGATGAGAAATAACAGTTCGAATAGAGGAAAAATGTTCCCGTAGTTTCTGAAGTAAGAACTCATTTGTATTTTCTAAATTTTGAGATGGTACTATCAGTTCGCCTGGAATTCTCAGAGTTTGTCCATAAACCATTTTAGCAGAACAACATTTAAGATCTTCTTTTACTTGATTACGCAAAGCTAGTAATATAATAGGAAGTTCATCAGACCAATGTAAAGAATCATTTGAAGATGTAAGGGATGTTTTAAGTTGACGAAGGAATCTTTCTATGATTCCGTTAGCTTGTGGATGATAGGCAGAGGTGTGAATTTTTTCGATACCAAGTATGTCTACTAAATTCGAAAACAAACTAGATGTAAATTGTGAACCACGATCTACAGTAATATTTAATGGAATGCCAAAACGAGAAATATAATTTTGAATAAAAGTTTTAACAATTTCCTCAGACGTAATGTTTTGTAATGGATAAGCTTCTGGCCATCTCGTAGTTCTGTCTATGCATGTTAAAATATATTTATAACCTCTTGAAACTGGTAATGGTCCTACAATATCCATATGGTTATGTTCAAATCTACATTTGGGAATTGGAATTTCAACATTAGGTGATTTAGTATATCTATTTATCTGTTATAATAATTTATCATACCTAAAAACTTTTGGAGTTTTTTGATAGAATTTGGTTTTTCAAAAGAATTTATTGCCTCTATACGATCTTTTGATGGCTGTATTCCTTCTTTAGATATTTCATAACTCAAGAAATCTAATGATTCCTGACCGAAAATACATTTTGAGGGTTTAATATTAAGACCAAAGTTATCTACACAGAGAAAACAGATTCATTGTCACAACCGAATTTGTTTCCAATCGAATTTGGTCGGTTACACTAACTATATCATATATCGATTGCAAATACCGAATATTTCTTTTGCTAACACTATATATTTAGAACATAAATAGAAGTTGTAACCGAATTTTCGATTAAAGTAACTAAATATTTAGTATAAATATGGTACATGTAACTACGAAAAAAATCAATTCGGTTATAAAGACCGAAACTATTATTATTAGGAACCAATAAAAATGTTTCAATTATTTTTATATATTTTTATTAATATATAACAAATATTATTATTAAATACATTATTAAATTCATTCATAATCATTTTACAATCAGCCATAGTAATGTATTTCTTGTCCACTGATGAGCAAAATATATTGACTTTTCGAGTGTATCAATTTGCATTATTTACTCCAAAAGTTCTAAAACTTGACCTATATAAGAAGCTTAATTGATGCTTGACGATTCTGCGACTGAGAAGGGAAATTCAGCTGTTTAAATAATTTAAGAAACTTCAATTTCACATAATTGTCTGAAAATAAACAAACGATGATTATATGTACAATATTTTGTAAATGGACACGGTTTTCTTAACGTACAATTATCCAGGAAAAGTTGGAGAGAATCCATCTAAAACTTGACCTACATAAAAAATTTGTTTGACAAATCCTGCCTCAAGGCAGTGAAATTCAATTGTTGAAAGCTGCAACTTTTTATAATTCTCTCACATAATCTAAAATTAAACGAACGATTATTATACAATATTTTGTAAATGGAGACGATTTTCTTAACTTACAATCATCAGTAAAGGCCGGCGAGAATCCATGTTTATTTTTATTTGAAAATGCGTATAAAATTTAAATAAATAAAAATGTGTAAATTTTATTTTCTTTTTATTTTAGAACAACGTATTTTTTAAAATGTCAAGAAAAATTTACGTATGTATTGTGTAGTTGATTGAAAACATAGATAATATTCTATGATTGGAAATACCGAATAAAGCTTTATTATAATCAAGATAACCGACATTTATAACATTTCGGTTTAAAATACCGAATTAATTTTTATTATATTAGAGATAATCGTATTTTCGTAGCTGTTTATACAAATATAGGATATCAGTAACAAAAAATATATTTCTTCATTAAATAACCGATTTTTTGATTACAAGTACTAATATTTTCGATTAAAGCGAATAATTATACATTTAAGTTTGGTTGTGCTTGACAAGATAATGAAATAAGTTTTTAAAAAGCTCATATTGATTATGTTAACAAAATTAATAATTGTATGATCCTTATTTCGATTACAGTTATGTTTTTTCAGTTCTTATTATAAAAAAATTGTTGAATTTGCAGATTTTTCATAATTATAATTAATATTCTTCTACAGTAACTAATTATTTGTTATTAAAACCGATTTCCGATCGATCTTTTTTCTGTGTGTAGTTGTTCAAAAACTAATTTGAGGTGATTTAAATGTTCTTTTTGATTTTTGCTTGCAATTAAAATATCATCTATGTAAATAAATACGAAATCGAAACTAAAAATACTTCATTCATGAATCTTTTAAATGTTTGAGCACTATTCCTTAATCCAAATGGCATTCTTACGAATTCCAACATACCAAATGGTGTTGTAATCGTTTATGAATATCTTCCGGAGCGACAGGAATTTGATGGTATAATAGCATACCATCAAATTCCTAATGCTATGTTTCCACTGAGGCGTTTTGAGCAAATCTAGTTGATTTGGGCAAAACTAGTTGAAATCATGTAGATTTCCCATTAATTTTTGACACATCCAAATCTAGTTAATCTACTAGATTTGATTTAAAAAGTATTTTTTTCGAACAAGATTTGCTTATGCAACACTGCGATGTGTGTAGGATAAGAAAATACTTCTTTGGGCTATCCATTCAAATTGAATGTTTTCTTCGAAAAAGTGACAATTAATTTCGAAGTGAAAATAATAACAAATTATAATTTTAAAATAGTGGCATTTTATAAATAAATTTATTCGTTTACAACTGTAATTTTTTATTTTTAATAAGTAATTTCAAATAAAACAAGTAAGAAATTATAGTCGGGCGTGGCCGACCATATGATACCCTACACCAATTGCGAATATTAAATGTGATTAATTTCAATAATAAAGCATTTCTGTTAATCTTATATAGGTTCCAAATAATGTCTGTTCATGTTCGATTGTATGCTGACTAGGAGAAATAAAAGACCAATTTCAATCATTTTCAACAGCCATCGTCAGTGGATCCAGAAAATAGTATGTGACCCATTTTAACAAATTATATTCAAAATTGCGATCTGTTGCGTGCACACAAGGTTTATACGGTCACAAAGACGGACATAGCTTAATAAGGACAAATATTTTTGAGCGTTACAAACATCACCACATTGTGCCGACTTTTGGATAGATAGTAGTATATTAGACGTAGTTAAAAGATAAACGGCCGAAATCGGAAGGTCCGGATGTATGGGGGCTAAGGCAGAAATTGAGCCGATCCTTATAAAATGTGTTATTGGGAATTATCTATATACATATATAAAAATGAATGTGTGTTTGTTTGTATGTTTATATGTTTGTTTGTTTGTGGGTTTAGCGACAGGAATTTGATGGTATAATAGCATACCATCAAATTCCTAATGCTATGTTTCCACTGAGGCGTTTTGAGCAAATCTAGTTGATTTGGGCAAAACTAGTTGAAATCATGTAGATTTCCCATTAATTTTTGACACATCCAAATCTAGTTAATCTACTAGATTTGATTTAAAAAGTATTTTTTTCGAACAAGATTTGCTTATGCAACACTGCGATGTGTGTAGGATAAGCAAATACTTCTTTGGGCTATCCATTCAAATTGAATGTTTTCTTCGAAAAAGTGACAATTAATTTCGAAGTGAAAATAATAACAAATTATAATTTTAAAATAGTGGCATTTTATAAATAAATTTATTCGTTTACAACTGTAATTTTTTATTTTTAATAAGTAATTTCAAATAAAACAAGTAAGAAATTATAGTCGGGCGTGGCCGACCATATGATACCCTACACCAATTGCGAATATTAAATGTGATTAATTTCAATAATAAAGCATTTCTGTTAATCTTATATAGGTTCCAAATAATGTCTGTTCATGTTCGATTGTATGCTGATTAGGAGAAATAAAAGACCAATTTCAATCATTTTCAACAGCCATCGTCAGTGGATCCAGAAAATAGTATGTGACCCATTTTAACAAATTATATTCAAAATTGCGATCTGTTGCGTGCACACAAGGTTTATACGGTCACAAAGACGGACATAGCTTAATAAGGACAAATATTTTTGAGCGTTACAAACATCACCACATTGTGCCGACTTTTGGATAGATAGTAGTATATTAGACGTAGTTAAAAGATAAACGGCCGAAATCGGAAGGTCCGGATGTATGGGGGCTAAGGCAGAAATTGAGCCGATCCTTATAAAATGTGTTATTGGGAATTATCTATATACATATATAAAAATGAATGTGTGTTTGTTTGTATGTTTATATGTTTGTTTGTTTGTGGGTTTATATGTTTGAACGTTATAGACTACTAAACGGCTAAACCGATTTTCTTCAAATTTTCACAGCACATTCCTGTATGTCTGGCAATAGGCTACTTTTTATTTCCGATCATGGCGAAAAATGACAGTGTTATTTATAATTATATTAAACTTAGTTGTTCCAATTTTTGGGAAGATAGTAGTATATTTATAGTAGTTATGAGCTAAAAGGCCCAAATCGGTAGGTCCGGTTGTATGGGGGCTAGTATCATCATGATACTAGTGTTTATAAGTGAATTGTGGACATTCAAGTCATTTTCTGAAGGGAATTTTGTATGGGGGATAGTGTTATTTATAATTATATATTGGAGAGATAGTAGTATATTTGACAAAGTTATGAGCTAAAAGGCCCAAATCGGAAGGTCCGGTTATATGGGGGCTAGGGTAAAACTTGGTCCGATCCCTATAAAATTTATTGTTGGGAATTATGTTTATATAAAACTCATTTGTGCTTTGTATGGGGGCTAGGGTCAAATAATGCCCGATCTTTACGAAAATCACTATAATTATTAAGACATATATAAAACTAAATTTTTCCCATTTTTGTAGATATAGTGGATCATTTAACATAATTATCAGGTCAAAAGCCCTATGTGCCGATTTTTGGAGAGATAGTAGTATATTTGACAAAGTTATGAGCTAAAAGGCCCAAATCGGAAGGTCCGGTTATATGGGGGCTAGGGTAAAACTTGGTCCGATCCCTATAAAATTTATTGTTGGGAATTATGTTTATATAAAACTCATTTGTGCTTTGTATGGGGGCTAGGGTCAAATAATGCCCGATCTTTACGAAAATCACTATAATTATTAAGACATATATAAAACTAAATTTTTCCCATTTTTGTAGATATAGTGGATCATTTAACATAATTATCAGGTCAAAAGCCCTATTAGGGGGGCTAGGTGAAATAATGGACCGATTTCAACCATTTTCAATAGCGTTCGTCCTTCGATCAAGAGAAGTGCATGTTCCAAATTTCATCAAATTATCTCAAAAATTGCGACCTGTAGAGTGCGCACAAGGTTTACATGGACACACAGACAGACGGACGGACGGACGGACAGACGTACATAGCTTAATCGACTCAGGAAGTGATTCTGAGCCGATTGGT